GAAAATTTTATCTTGTTTCAACGATGTAATCTTGATTCTGATTTTGATGACAACACATCTACGTTACAAATGACTGGCGTACTCAACACCCTCATCATCTCTCTCTCTCTCTCTCGCTGTGGATCCGATAACTGGGTAGTTATCTGGTTCGTCTAGAACTATTCTATAAAGGTTTGGAAATTGGAGTTCTCAACTTCGTCCATATGGACTGACTTCATTTCACGTCTACCCAGTTCAGGACCTTGTTTCCTGACCATTTTCGTCGAGTTTCTATTCTCCCCTCTCCCTCTTATCACGGGAACATTGATTAAAACATCGCGAGGCCATATGTACCGGTCATATTCTGTGCACCAGAACAACTAATCATCATACTAGGATCCTACTTGCTATCCCGAAAATTTCATCAGCTTATAGCAAGCACTTAGGTATCCTGAACTAGCATGCATTAATACTTTAGCTAGCCGTCCAAAAGTTCTTTATGTTCTTCATGTACAGCTAGCCACAGTAGTCCAACTGTCTCATGCGATTCCAAGGTCATTTGACACGCCCTCACCGGACAACGGTAGCTAAATTGACGTAGTCCTACAATCCAGATTGCGGCCATCAACTGCACCGATTCGACACGAAACATACAGGTTTGCTGCTCAAGGCCCCCACCAAGGCATGCGAAACATTCGCGATGCTGACGCGTTCAGACACGAATGAAACATTTTTCTCATACTCTTTTTCCACCCACATTCGGCTTATTTATTTATTCATGTTCTGACAGTATAGAACAACTGGATATCAAACTTACCCCGAATCATCTTAACGGTTAGCGTGCAAATCTTAGCCTTGTTTTTCTCTTTACCCAATTCGTCTGTTTTCTGGTGATGCGAATCCAGTTTTTGCGTATCTGGTACGGTCAATTTTCAGAATCGATCAGATTTCATCTCCAAGCCCAGGATCTCCGGGCCGATGTGCTTATCATCTGTACTGTTTAACTATCACTTCCAGGTTAACCTATTTCGAATCTCAACCAGCAAAACTCAATCAGATTAGGTCTCGTTTAACTCCCCGATTGGAGATTATCTTAACCTACAATTAGAAGCACTGAGTGATGTGGCAGACTGGCGCTCGTGCATCTTTCAATTTGTTTGCAACCTTGGTTCATCAGAATTTTCAATGTTTTTGACACTCCTCTTCACATTCCAATGTTCCCTTTGCTCCTTCCGCCCAATGTACAGCCACCGGATAGTAACTAACATCACCGCACCAAGATGCCTGGTTGTGCAAATTGAAACTTGCTGACCCAAAATGTGCAAATTTGTCGCGGGAACAACATTAGAATTAGTCAATCTCTGGTAAATTGCTATCTATAAGTTGAAAATAGTATTTCGTTATGCGACTACCCTCAGTTTTTGTGTTTCTATTCCTATTATTTTAACTGCAGACTAGGTGAATCCGATGAGAATACGAAAACATGGACAAGGTACACCATCAGATGAAATAGATAGATCCTGGGACCCCGATACTGTCAAGCCACATAGGGCTCGTGTTTTTGAACTGGGTGACAGGGATGTTGTTTCTACTCGGACGATAGACATCCGTGCTGTTCAATATCAATTTTGTCCCCATAGGAGCCGAATGTGGTTCATCAGGGCTTGTCTACCCTTCACCCCACCTGTCGGTGCCGAGAACAAACAAAAACAAAACGAACGATTGAGCTTCATTTCTTCTACTGCTCATCACACACTGAATTAGGTAATCTAAAATAAGGATGGATGGTCATGGTGGGGTTCGCACCCTTAACCGTTGGTGTCGGTGCTTAGTTGGAACGGGAAATCTAACCTCTTGTATCTCGTGTCACCATCAGTCAGCTGCTATCTGTTCGGTGTATGGATAATTTCTTCTTTCACACTCAAATTACATCTGGTCTGTTATTTTCAACTATACGCGAAACATATCCATCACTCGTGTAAATGAGTCGTGATCTGAAAAGCTAGGAAGCACTGGACAGCTATTTCGACTATCACTATGTTTTTGTTTTGGGAGACATAGAAAAATATATTCAAATCGCCCTAGATATGAGGACCACTATCTAGACACGGTATTGTTTTAACGATTCCCAAGATTGTATTCACTCGCACTACGAATCGTTTCATTATACCATCCCATTGTCTCCTTTTCTTCTGACTTTACACATCTCACTGTGAAGTGGAAATGGATGCTCGATTGCACACAAAAGTCGAGCTAACTCTCTTAGCTGTTCTTTACCAGTCATTCTTCTCGCTGGAGCCGTGCTCTCTCTCTCTCACACACACGTGTCTTTTGCACATAGTGATCCGCACCACCTGTTTTCCTGTCCACCACCCTCCGACAGTATGTCTTCTCTCGTCAAACGGTCCTTGTGAACAGGCCACATTCCTATCACTCCTCCCCTTCCAACTCAACTATTGCCACCATTATTCACGCTTGATCGATCGAGTTCATTCGCTCGCTCATTCACTGATACACACTCAACCTCATTATCGTCCTGTCCCAAATTTAGTTGAAACTCTGCTAGATTGTGTGTTTGTGATCGACCCGGCGCCAATTGGAGATCTACTGTTCCCGTGACTGTTGATCACACTGTACTCATTCTCATTAACTGTCACATTCTGCGAGCTGAATCTGTTCCTTCAGAGCGCCCCCCCCCTCCGCCTTCCTCTGCTGATTCCATTTCGAGCGCGTCCCTGTCTCTGTTTTCTCATCTGTCTTCATATTTTGGACTCAGGCAATCAGTCACACGAACAAATGGCCATTCACAAATCCGAAGCCAGTTTATTTTTCTATTCAATTCAAATTTGCCGTATTCGCGTCTATTAACCAAATAGATCTGTGTGTATGTGTATGTAGCTTCTCTATCTCCGCACACACTTCCGCATCCTCGGGTACTGTCCGGCGATCCGAACTCGGTCGCCATCATTGTCGTCGTGTTCGTCTACCTCTTTCCGAATCCAGTTTTTACCTAATTGGATGTGCTTTCATTGTCCCGTGCTCTGATCCGCTTTGCTTTTCACTGTCTTGCCATGTGTGTGTGTGTTTAACGATGGTTTAATTTGTATCGTGTTGGCACTGTTTTGTAGATTTTGATCTGAGGAAATCGATAGCCCGCTTGTCACAGAATGTGATGGTGATAGGTTGACAAAAATCCGATCCCGTTGGAGTTGAACCGTTCCTCCAAGGCCCCGGACGCATTTCACCTATATTGATGTGCATTCACCAGTGAAATTTCTTACTCGCATATTGGTGTGCTATTATTGATTGTGATTTCCATTGAAAATAGCACCTTCATTGGCATCAGCATCATCGTGCTTATCGGTTTCGAAGCCAGACAGATGAGACACCGGGTTTCCTAGCTCGGTGGTTGCCGAGGCACGTAATGGATAGAAAAAGTTAAAGTGGATCTCGTTCTGAATAACCAAACCATGTAACTCGATAATATGGGTCGCGTTAGGCTTCCTAGATGGGAACCTCGTAACTGGTATGGTTAGAGAGGGATGTGATTGAGTGTTGTAAACAGGGGTACTCGTGGATCTCCTCACTGTTCTTACAACCGTAGTCTACCCTGACACTGATTTAAACATTCCACTGCTCCTTTTAATGCTTCATCCCAAATGGACAGTCAGGGGACAGAAACCGAAACCGGTGCACAATTATGCGAGGCAAATGGTTGTAATAGCTAAAACTTATCAGCATCACAGAAAGTGAGAATGAAGCTGATCGCTACCAAGCACAGGGTACATACAAATGTGTCCGTGAGATAAAAGCTGAATCTGAAGTGAACTTGCTTGAAAGAATAGAAAATAATAATGGTCCACAGCTCTGATGAGCATCGCACGCACATAGTCACTCTTCTTTCAATTCGTGTGTCTGTCTGTCTGTGTGTGTGTGTGTGTATCGACACAGATCACAGTGAGAGTGGGGGATTGTTCCCGTGTCTTCAAGTTGATGGCCACACTGTGCACACCTTCCCTCACCCTCCCCTACTTGCGGAAAGTTTCACCCAAGAACCGGCACTGATACCGTAATTCACGTCTGTTCGCTATCAGACCCGATCTACTCGATACGAAACGTTGACCATCTCCGGCGATAAAAGAAAATGACCAGGTTAACCAATCTCTCTCGCTCATCTCGTTCATCTAACAACTGAAACCGAGAGCACACCACTCAGAATCGCCTGATCTATTTTGAGTAGTAATTTACATGGTTCAATCGTGAACGATTCGACTGACAGTTACAAGCTAGAACAGATTGTGTTTATGATCATGGAACCGTGCGGAGTATACAGATGGATCTGCGATTTGTGCACCTCACGACGTGCATGTGCTTCATCCGGCGGGCTTTCTCGGACAAGCACTATTTGGTTAAAATCAGCCACGAATTTGCTCAATCATGGGAGGAACATGTCATTCAAGCTCTTCAGTCGCCGCGTACAAAATCATTTGTGTTCCAGTTTAGCAAATCATTAATCACCCGGTGAACTAGGGAAACCGTTTGTTTGTAGGCCGGTGAGTAAGCACGAAGTTCGCAGAACCGTA